GTGGCACTGCCATGGGAGCTGAGAGTGACAGTGCTCCTATCTCCAAAACCTGGTACACTTTGTTCTAAACCAGATTCCAGGAAGGTCAGAGTGAGAAGTAACATCGTAAAAGGCCCCAGACCCAGCACCCCCAGGAAAGGGGACAGGAGCAGAGCCCTTTTAATTAAATGTAGGCTAACTCTAAAAGGTTTTATATGGCTCTGTGCTATAAGTTGTATGACCTCACTAGGTGCAGATTTATAAGACCCTTTCTTTTTGTGTGCAGTGTTATTAGAAGAATTCTTGGCCTGGGCATGGTGGCTCATGGGCCAGGCACACTGGCTCATGCCTGTAATCCCAGCACCTTGGGAGACTAAGGCAAAATTGCTTGAGCCCCAGAGTTTCAGAGCAGCCTGGGCAGCTGGTGAAACCCCATCTCTACAAAAATACAAAAAATAGCTGGGTGTAGTGGCTTATGCCTGTAGTCCCAGTTATTTGGCAAGCTGAGGCAGAAGGATCACCTGAACCCAGGAGGTCGAGGCTGCTGTGAGCCATGATCGCATCATTACCCTCCAGCCTGGATGACAGAATGAGATCCTGTTTCAAGAAAAAAGAAAAGAAAAGAACAGAAAAGAAAAGAAGGAGGGAGGGAGAGAGGGAGGGAGGGAGGAAGGGAGGGGAAAAAAAAAGAGAATTCTCCAGCGAGAGTCACCAAAGAACATACTAAATGTCCCTTGGGCAGATCACCTTTCTGGACCTCAGTTTCTTTATCCATAGATTGAGATGATATGAGTCAGTGGTTTTGAACTAGGGTGACTTTGCTTCCTGGGGACATTTAGTATCATCTGGAGATGGAGGTTTTTGGGTTGTAACAATGAGAGGGAGTATGCAGTGCCTCTATCATCCACGGACGCTGCTGATCAGCCTACAATGCACAGGCTCTGTGTGCCCCAACAAGCAAGTATTTGGTTTAAAATATCAATTGTGCCAAGGTTGAGAAACCCTGGAGTGGATGATTTCAAAGTTCTCTCCCACCTATAAGATTATCTTCCCTTTGGTGTATTAAAAACCCATGTGAACATGTATGATTGGGATCCCCGGGTTTTAATGGCAAGGCCCAAAATGTATTCCAGGTGCCAGGAAGGCGCCCTGCTTCTGTGCCCATGCCGTGATCTCACCTTCCTAGCAAAGCAGACCCAGGGCCATCTGCTGCCATCGTATCTGTCACCCCAGGGTCAGCAGAACACCTATCATCATGGAAGGCATTCCCGGCTAGAGAAGCTTGATGGGAAGTGGGGACAGAGGTATCACTTGTCACCGGGCTTTTCTAGCTACCAGGTTCCTCTCATTATCTGGTGAACTCTGTTCCTGTCTGTCAACATGCCTGTCAGGGGCCGAACTGCAATCTACCTTCCGTCTCACATCTATTTCTTTCCTCTTCTGGGACTTAGGTCTGCCAGCTCTGAAGACTCACCTTCCCTGGCGGGGGGACTCAAGCTCTTCATCACTCCACCCCCCAGGCTCAGCTTCATAATCCTAAAGAGATTTGAGCTGTGGACTTTTCTTCCAGGATACAAATGCAAGGAAAGGCTTGATGTGCGTATCAGTGGAACATCTGTGCCACTTCTCTTTCCTGCACCCATGGCAGACATCACTAATCACCACAAAACTTTTCCCCATTGAGCTGGAGCATGGCTAAACATGGCTGTCTACAAAGCCACTTCCAGTTGATAGAGTCGACATTCTGATTTTAACCAAGTTGCCATCCTATTCTCTGAACCATCCAAGTGAAGATAATAGGGGTTGGGAGAGATAATGAATGAAATGAAATTCTCAACTAGATTGTAAGTTCCTTGCGGGCAAGGGCAAGTTCTATCTCATTCACTTGTCTATCCCCAGTATACACAGGAGAGGCCCAATAAACATTTGTTGAATGAATGAAGAGCCTCCCAGTTTGTGGTCTCCCTGAGATGCATGCTCCCCACCTGGATCCCTAAAATTGGAATGGACTCCAATTCATAGCTTGCCATCTGAACTAATGCTGGGTAGAGTTATCCTGGGAAAGGAGAGATTTGAAAAAGCAAAGACAATATAGTGAGCTCTGTTCTCAGGTGTAAACGGGGAATGTAGGACTGATGCTTTCCTTTATTTCTAAAAGAGCGATAATGGCTGTGAGAGAGAGCTTTGAAAGAGTCTGGAACCTGTGTCACTTCCCCATGTTAATTTTTTTTTTAAATTATCCCTGTCTTGGTTCCCTGTGGTGATTTAAGGGCTTTAGGATTTTTTTTTTTTTTTTTGAGACAGTGTCTCATTCTGTCGCCCGGACTGAAGTGCAGTGGCACGATCTCAGCTCACTGCAACTTCCGTCTCCTGGGTTCAAGTGATTCTCCTGCCTCAGCCTCCCGAGTAGCTGGGATTACAGGTGCCCGCCACTATGCCCAGCTAGTTTTTTGTATTTTTAGTAGAGATGGAGTTTCACCATGTTGGCCAGGCTGGTCTCGATCTCTTGACCTTGTGATCCACCTGCCTCGGCCTCCCAAAGTGCTGGGATTACAGGCATGAACCACTGCACCCAGCCAGAATTTTTAAGCTATCATTTATTGAGTGCTGTGTCCCATCAGCTTTGTAAACATTGACCCACTAGATGATCGCAATAGGTTGGTTCTCTTTTTAACCATTTCTTAGAAATCGAGGCACAGAGGGGTTAATTACATACCCATGATGCCCAACTAGGGGGTGACTAAGTTCAAATTCATACCCAGGCCAGTGTGCCTCCAAAGCTGGTCTTCATAAAGCCCTTCAAACAGAGAGATTCTGCATGCTTGTGCTTGGTGGCCACAGGGTGGGAGGACATTGTGCTCTGTCTCTCTGCCAACTTTGAAGACAGAGAGACTCTGGGGGCGGGAGTGGCAATGGGAGAAGCTAAGGGAAGGTCTCTTCCCTGAGACCTTAGGCAAGGCAGAAACAAGTCCCATGAAATCGGCGTGGGTAGGAAACAGGTCCTGAGTATACAACTCTGCGAAACCCCTGAGGGGAGAAGCCCGGCTCAGAGGCCCGGGTGAGTCTAGCTCTGGTCCGCTGCCCACAATCCCCTAATTTCCTGCTGCATCATCTCCTGGTTGTCTCCCCCAACATTTGGGTGGCCAGATTTAGCAAATAAAAATACAGGATGGCCAGTTAACTTTGCAATTCAAATAACAACAACATTTTTTTTTTTAGTGTAAGTATGGCATATTTAGGACAAATACTAAAAAATTATTTGTTGTTTATCTGAAATTCATATTTAATTAGCTATCTTGTATTTTATGCAGGAATTCTATCTACCATCCTTGGCCACCTCCCACACCATCCCCTGGTCTGCTGCTGCCCTGCTATTCCCAGTGGAAATTCCTGGCCCCACATAGACTAAATTGCTGTGTCACATTCCCTGCCCAGAGCTGCACGGTGATCTTTACCTAGCTTAGTTTCTCCAGGAGCCCTCCTTGAAGCAAACAGTTACATCCCTGAGGACAGGACTGAGAGCATCCCACCCAGAGTCACTCAGATCCTCCTGCGGGTATTAGGTTCAGGCTCCCTGTGGTGGTGGTGGTGGTGGTACAGGGGGTTCTGGATAGCAAAGTAAAGAAGCTAATGAGACAAGAAACCTTGCCTCACAGTTTGGAAAACTTCATCACTTCCCTGGGTCTGGGCCAAAGCAATCATTTTAAGGTGCTTGGAACAGGGAAGGGGGACTGAGAGGAGGGTGGTTTGCTGCGGGTTTCTCCTCCCAGACTTGCCAGCTGCAGACTGGATAGGTTAATGAGCTGTGGAAGCAGAATTCACCCAGGAAATGATGTGGGGCCACCCTACACCTGTTCCCAAAGGCTGTGGAGCTCCGGGCTTGGAATGAGTGAAATCTGAAAACTCACTACCTATTTGGGGGCTCCCACTCCTCTCTTCAGACATAGAGAGATGGGAAGGGACTTGGCAGGAACCCATGGATTGAGGAGGATAGCAATGGGGGCAGAAAGAGGGAAGGAGAATTAGAGGAGCTGTGCTTTATCTGACTCCCCACATAGGTACACACACACACACACACACACACACACACACTGCACTTACAGCTCAGGAGCTGGGGAGCCGAGTTCTCATGCCTATTCTGTGGCTCATGGTGAGCCAGTTGCTTCCCTTGTCTAGGCCTCAGTTTGCTCATGTATACATTTTAGGAGAAGGGCTAGAATCTCTCGGGCCCTGCCTGCAAAGGTCCAGGAATTTGCTATCCCCACCCAAGTATGAACTCTCTGAGAGCAGGGGCTTGGCTTCAATCTCGTGGATGACTGGTCACCCAGAACCCAGCCAGCCTCAGGAAGGTCCAGCAATGCTGGCTTCTGCTGCTGCTGCTGCTGTCCCTAGAGCTGAAGACTGGCCACAAAACCAGAGGCATTTCCTAATGTGTGAGCCTCTGCACTGGCAGAGGCTGCAAGAGAACCAGAAGCCTAAATTCCCAAGCAGGCAAATTACCCAGTGAGCACCCTGCACCCTAGTGCCTCGGGATCAGTCCAGGAGATGGGGCAGAGGAGGACACATCTGCCAGGTGGCTCCCAGGGTCCCACCCCCGAGTCATTCTCATACCCAGCGCCACTGTGAATGTCTTCCGCTTTAGCTTAATTAAGCCATCTGCCCACATTAAATGGTAAATTATCTCAATCACTCCCTGGATCCCAGAGGGGAGAAAGAGATGAAAGGGAAATGCCATCCCTTGAGTGGAGCTGGAGGACTCTGCCCTGCCTGTGATGACTTCTCCCTCAGCGAGGACAGCCTCCAGTGTTTACAAATCCTTCCATGTCCTTGAAACTCTAACTCCACCTGTCATCTCTCTGCTTCTTTCTTTTCCTATAGGGAGGAGCGAGGCTCTTGCATGTCTGACCATGGGTAGGAATAAAGATGAGAGCTTTTCTGTTTTTCCTCTACCTTAGGGGTGCTTGAGTGTCTGTAATGTTGCTCTCTTCCAATAAGCCTGTTATTTTTTGCACCCCTGTCAGCTCTCAGTTCTGCTGAGGAAGCCCTGTGCTCCCAGTGAAGTGACCTGTGAACACCACTCTGCTCTGCAGGCATGTGGCCAGAGGCTGGAGGATGGAGGGATCTCATTACAGGCATCTGTGGGGTAAGTGGGGAGGTGTCTCCTAGGGTAGAAGCACCTTCTTCGAAGGGTTGCTGTGGACCAGGGGATGACCCTCGCTTGGCTTTGCAGTTCCAGACATTGGATTTATAAGCATGCTCATAGTTGTTCAGGTTCAAGAATCATTGACTTACAGTCACCAAATCCCTAAGAGACTGATGAACCTGAGTCCAGTAAAAAACTGGGGGACATGACTTAAAAGAGATTGACTCACAATCACAAACTTCTAAGAGACTGAGTGTCTTAGTTCATTTTGTGTTGCTATAGCAGAATACCCAAGGCTAAGTAACTTATAAAGAAAAGAGGGTACATTTAGCTCATGGTTCTGCAGGCTGGGAGGTTCAAGAAGCATGGTGCTGGCATCTGCTTGGCTTCTGTGTGGGCTTTCCTACTATGTTAAGACATGGTGGAAGATCAAAGGGGAAGTGGCCATGTGCAGAGAGGCAAATTTCAAGGAGTGTCCTTGTTCTATTAAAGCCCACTCTCAAGGGAGCATTCCTGTGAGAACTAGTTCAGTCTCACAGAGAGCAAGCACTGACTGCCACCAAACCATTTATGAGAGATCTGTCCCCACCTGTCACTGAGCCCCACTTCCCAAGACCACCACATTGGGGATCATTTTCAACATGCATTTTGGTGGGGTCAAACTCAAACCATAGCACTAAGGAGCCCAAGGTAAATGTAAAATGGTGACAATTCCTACCAAGTATTCCCTTTTTGGTATCAAGCTTACCCAGAAAACTAATAACCAGAAGATTGCTTACTGAGTTCAGAACAAAGAGACATTAGGTCAGGGGATAGGAAATTATGATTAGCTATGTCTGGTCCAGAGCCAGTTGTCTCTCTCAGTGGAACTGGAGACACACTAACTGGTTGTATTATTTGACTGCCCCTTTTCTGGACACCCAGCAGACCCAGATCTTCCAGTTGCTCTACACTTCCTTCAGTCAGACTGGGGACTACTGACTGGGCCCCAGCTCTCTTTAGCTACATTTAGTCCTGATGACTTTTTCTGGACTTGGATACTTCTCAGTCTCTTCATTATTTATAAAGCATCATTTAGAGTGGGTCTTTTCTAGGTATGGCTAATGCTTAGCTGTTGTACTTTCTTGAAAACGACTGAAGTCCCAGGTTCTGTCAATCTCTTTCTGTAGCTCCCTAGCTACACAATTATTTTAAAGAATCATAAGTCATGCCCCTGGATCTCAGACAGACTTCGTATGCTGTTTCAGGGCACATTGGGCTTCTGCTGAAGCATCACTCAATGGAGCCACTTGCTAACTGTGTTACTTTGGGAACAACACTAAGCCTCCATGAGCCTTGGTTTCCTTGGGATAAAATGGGGATATTAATGATGATCTCACAGGGATACAAAGATCAAGGGAAATGGTCAAGTGTTGTATCTTGATCATGTATCAAAATGGGCTGTGATCTCCTTACAGTGACTGTCATCAGTCAGGAGCCTCAAGGGATGCTTTCCCAGACAGAAATGGTCTTGGGAATATGCTTAATTTGTTTATTCATGAAACATTTATCAAGCACCTACTGTGTGACAAGCATGGCACTTGCAGTGATAGAATAAATTTTCTTAAATTCTGAAATAATTACTTTACCATGAGAGTTGAGGATAGTACATTGACAACCAATATGGGGAACTTATTGTGTGCCAGACGGAACTAATTGCAGATATCATTTTATTGAGTTCACACAATAGTCAAATGAGGTAGACACTTTTACTATGCCCACTTTGCAGATTAGCACACTGAGCTAATCAAATTCTTTAAGGTCAGACAGCTTGTATGTGGTATAATTAGAACCCTGATCTGAGTGGCTGCAAAGATCATGCTCTCAACTAAACTCCAGAGAGGGATAGATTACAAGTGCAAAATCGAGATTGGTACAAACTAGACCCTCTTGCACGGTGTGTGTGATTTTCTTGCATGGTTATTAAATGTAATGTGTTGTATTCAAACAGATGACTGTGAGTTTAAGGCTACAATGTTTGGGTGGGTAAAAGGAGGATCTGCATCAATAGGGTGAATAGTGAAGAAAGAGCCCATAATGGAGACAAAGAGGACTATCAGACTAGAATTCAGGAGGCAGAGGGAATTCCCCATGTAGGTGTGGCCTCCTGGAACGTTAAGTGCAAAGGCAGCATCCACCACTTTGAGGTAAGCAGGAATCAGGAAGTGGGGAAGGGGTGGTAGGTCAGGGAGACCTGCCATCTCTCTTAATAAAATCCCAGACCTCCGAAACCAGCATATAAGGAGACCTGGGCCTCACTGCATCCAACCCAGGGATTCAGACTCCCCTCAGGAATGTTGACAATGCTGCCTCTCTCATGGGGCCTCACATCTAAAGGTCCAGCCCTTGTGTCTAAAGGACAAAAGATTGTCTTTAAAGCCTATTGCTGAGCGGGCAGGGTGTCTTGAAGTCATGTTCTATGGTCATATTCTATTGCCTGCATTTAGTTTTTCTCTGTTATTCCTAAGCCTTTAGTCAAGTCTCATGTAACTGGCCCAGCCTGATTTCACCAGACAAAAGGAAAGGTCTTGTGTTCAGGCTCTAATTGGAGCATTAAAGAGATTGCAGGCTCCCTTCAGCTTTGTGGAGAGAACGTATTCCAGGTTAGGGTGTCATCTGCATCCTCATCAGGAGATGTGCTGGAATGGCCTTGTCACCACAGGAATGCCATGAAGCCTGTGAAGTTCATGGAATCAGTCTAAGGCCCCAACCCACCCTCAGGCCCCGGCAGTGGATGCCCTGCTCTCAGATTCCCATAATGGTTCCAGGTGGTGACCATTACCACACTTTCCAGACTGTGCTCATCTCAGGGGCCAGCCTGACAAACTCATCCCTAGAGTTTGTCAAGAATGCAGAGCCTCAAGCCTACTCCAGACCTCCTGAATCAGAATCCGCATGTTAACAGAGCTCAAATGATTCAGAAGCACATGGAAGTTTGAGAAGCACAGATCCAGGGCAGGGGCTCTTAATCTGGGCCCATGAGCTCAATGGGGGAAAAATAGTATTACATCTTTATTTTTTTATTTTTATTTTTACTTATTTATTCATTTATTTTGAGACAGAGTCTCGCTCTCTTGCCAGGCTGGAGTGCAGTGCCACTATCTCGGCTCACTGCAACATCTGCCTCCTGGGTTCAAGTGATTCTCCTATCTCAGCCTCCCAAGTAGCTGGGACTACAGACACGCACCACCACGCCCAGCCAATTTTTGTTATTTTTAGTAGAGATGGGGTTTCACCATGTTGGCCAGGATGATCTCGATCTCCTGACTTCGTGATCCGCCTGCCTCGGCTTCCCAAAGTGCTGGGATTACAGGCGTGAGCCACTGCACCTGCCCACATCTTTATTTTTACCAATCACTAACCAAACATTAGGATTTCCTTCCATTTTGGATGTAGGTTGCAAATCACAGAAGTGTGTGCGATACTTGTGGCTTTGTCACCAATAGAAATCATGGATATTTTTGTAACACATTACAGTTGTTTTAGACATCTCAAAATAGCATATATGTTCACCACTACTTCAAAATAACAATAGCTATTAGATCTGAAGTTATATTACACTATATAATACAATAGTAGCTAAACTTATGTTATTATATCACAAAACTTGAAAAATATTTTTGGTAAGGATTTCAAAGGACTTGACTTCCCTTATTATCCCATGTGTTTTATTTTCTGCATTAGAAACTTTATTCTGAGGAGGGCTCACCAAGTTGCTGAGGGATCCATTACACTAAAAAGGCAAAGAACCTGTGCTCTAAGAAGCACAGCAGGGCCGGAATAGTGTTTGGAGAATTTAAGACACGTGGGGCGAGCATAACTCAATCTGGAAAGCCCCAGAAGTCACATGCCCCCACAGACAGGCAGCCTTCAGAGCAGACCTGACTGGCAGCTAGTGGTCTGCTTCGATGGCTTCTTCATTCTCCCTTCATTAAAAAGTGGGTTTGATAAGGCCCGTGCTAAGGAATAAAACCAAGATTCCAGGTAGGGAATATTGCTCTTGTCAGCCTAGCAAGAAAATCAGGGACCCAACTGAAAGAGTATCAAAGATTGTTCCTTTTATCAGCCCCTCTCTATTTCCCTGCAGTGATCCACAGAAAAACACTTAAAAGGAAAATCACCTGTGTGCCTGTCTTTAGGGGCAGAAAGGAAGAAGCCAGTAGGGACACCAGCTCCCTTTGCAGCCAGAGGGGTGAGGAGAGTCCTGGGGAATGAGAGTGGGTGGTGGTAGCTTTAAAAAGAAGATCCTGGCCAGGAGCAGTGGCTCATGCCTGTAATCCCAGCACTCTGGGAGGCTGAGGCGGGTGGATCACCTCAGGTCAGGAGATTGAGACTAGCCTGGCCAACATGGTGAAACCCCATCTCTACTAAAAGTAAAAAAAAAATTAGCTGAATGTGGTGGTGCACCTGTAATAATCCCAGCTACTGGGAGGCTGAGGCAGGAGAATCACTTGAACCTGGGAGGTGGAGGTTGCAGTGAGCTGAGATCGTGCCACTGCAGTGCACTCCAGCTTGGGTGACAGAGCGAGACTCCATCTCAAAAAAAAAAAAGAAAGAAAGAAAGAAAAGAAAAGAAAACAAATCCCTTTACACAGTGTTAGGCATAAGTAAAACATAAATAAATAAAAATAAAAAGAAGATCCCATGGTGGGGGAGCAGCATCCCTAGGCCTGAGGGAATGGTGGGGGTGTCTGGGTGAGATGTGACCTTGAGGCCAGCAGCAGGCCTGAGCTGGTTGGTCCCCAGAATTCTCTTGAGGAGGGGGAAGTGGCCACTCCTAAAAAAGGCTCCTCTGGCAAGAGTGTAATGGAAAGGATATTAAGATCAGGGGTCAGTGCTTCTCCCTGGGTCCTCAGCTGGAGGCAGGGCGGGCACAATGAACCATTCCAGGAGCTGGGATGGACCAACAGCCCTGTGCTCATTGAGGGCCTTGAAAACATGGTCCTATAGGGCTCCTGGCAAAGATGCTTTGGGCCAACAATGGGGCTCTCTAGGGTAAGACTAACCTCATGCTGTCCTTTATGAATAATGATAATAACTTCACAAACTGTTTAATATTTTAGACTTTTCAAAGTTGCCTTAAGGCAACCTGATATGGGAGTGGAAAAAGACCAAAACTGAAATCTACTTCTGCCCATGGAAAAAAAAAAAAAAAAAAAAGAACACCATAGCCAAATTTATTTGGCCATCTTGAGCTTCAGTTCTTTCCATCTGACTGATGGGGATAATAATAGCTGAGGAACCTGCTCAGTGATTTGGGTGCAGATCAAATGGCGCATGGGCATGAAAGATGAGGGCTTTGCCATGGAAGTGGAAGCTCCTGTTTTATGTGAGCACTGTCACCTCCTGTATGAGTTTCCTAGTGCTGCTGTAATAAAGTGCCACAGTCAGTGACCTAAACCACAGGAATGTATTGGCTCGCTGTTCTGGAGGCTGCAAGTCCACGACCAAGGCATTAGCAGGGTTGGTTCCTTCTGAGGGCTGTGCCTCTTCCTCCGCTTCTAGTGGCGGGCTGGCAACTGTTGGAGTTTCTCAGCAAGTGGAGGCATCACCGTGACCTCTGCCTTCATCTTCACATGGTGTTCTTCTTGGTAGGGTGTCTGTGTCCAATTTCTCCTTTTTATAAGGACACCAGTCATACTGGAGTAGGGGCCTACCCAAATCGAATAAGACCTTATCTTAGCTAATTACATTGCAACAACCCCATTTCTAAACAAGGCGATAGAGTGAGGGAAGGGTGGGACTTCACAATTTGAGTTTGGGGCCAACACAATTCAGCCCATAACACTCCATTAGCCCACTGATGCTCCTTGGCCGTGGGTAGCCCAGAACACACAGGTCAGGTACAGAGGATGGAGCAGGGTGGCGAAGTTCCAACTCTTCTAGGCAGATTCTGCTCTCAGATGAATTGAGGTCTTCTACCATCTCTTTTATTAAACACTTAAACATTTATTAAACATCTACTTTATGCCAGATATAGAGAATATAAAATGAATAAATTATTGTCCTTAACTTCAAGGGAAAAGAGAGACATGTAAACAAATCATTGCAAGCCAGCATGATTCACACAATAAGAGATTTATGTGGCAAAAAAGACGGAGTCCAGGACAGGATTGTCAAGGAGGGCTCCTAGGAGGTGGCAACATTGGAACTAAATCTTAAAGACAACTAGGGATTTTCCAGGCAGACAAAAGGCAGAGACATTTCAACTAAACTGAAAGCACCACAGCACAGAAGTGTAAGAGCCTGGCTTGGGTGATTGGTTGGGCTAGAGATGGGAGCAATGGGAGACAGAAGTCAGAGGTAGGTTAGGGCCGGGTTAAGGGGGTTGTCCACCAACCTAAAGAATGCAAACTTTAGAATGGAAATCCTATAGGATCCCCATTGAAAACTTATTATGCTGTAAGTTCTGAAAAGGCAATGATCTCATTGGTTATGGGAGATGAGGCCAGAGTGCTAACATAGCAGACACTCAATATATACACAATAAACACATGAATGAATGAATGGATGAATGAATGGTTTTAAGCAGCAGAGTGGTATGAGAGTCTTAAGAGTAGGGTGCACATGGAAGCAGATAAACACAGCCAGGATAATTTGCTATACACCAGGCAAGTGCTGTGAGGACCTAAATAGCCTCCAAGAAGAGCAGAAACACGTGGCCTTCAATGGGGTAGGAAAGGGTGAAAAAGGTGAAAATAATGGTACATCTGTAGGGGTCTTAAGACTGATTTTTTTTTTTTTTTTTTTTTTTAGACAGGGTCTCGCTCTGTTGCCCAGGCTTGGGTGCAGTGATACGATCTTGGCTTACTGCAACCTCTGCCTCCTGGGCTCAAGATATCCTCACACCTTAGCCTCCTGACTAGTTGGGACCACAGGTGCACCAAGAATACAAAAATTGGCCACCATGTCCAGCTAATTTTTGTATTCTTTGTAGAGGTGGGGTTTCACCATGTCACCCAGGCTGGTCTCAAACTCCTGGGCTCAAGTGATCCTCCTGCCTCGGCCTCCCAAAGTGCTGGGATTATAGGTGTGAGCCACTGCACCCAGCCTTAAGGTTTGAATTTGGAGGACTTCCTGCCCCAGATCTCGGCCATCTCTGGGGAGATACTTCCTGAGGGAAAGGAAAGAAGAGGCTGTAGGAGGCGCTCTTGCTGAGGAGCACTGAGACCAGCAAAGAGCAGGAGGAGCTAAGAACAGAGCTCAGCTGCCCCAAGGCCAAAAGGGAGATAGATGCTTGACTGTGGGCCTGCACTCAGCTTGCGGAATTTGGAATGCAATAGAAGGAAAAAGGGGGCTATAGTGGGTTGAATAATGTCTCCTCAAAATTCATGTCTACCCAGAACCTTGAAACGTGACCTCATTTGGAAACGGGGTCTTTGCAGATGTGAAATGAGATCATACTGAATTAGAGTGGGCCCTAAATCCAATGATAGGTGTCATCATAAGAGACAGGAAAGGACACAGACACACAGGGAGGAGGACTATGTGAAGAAGGAAGCAGAGACTAGAGCTGTGCTGCCACAAGCCAGGGAAGGCCAGGAGCCACCAGCAGCAGGAACAGGCAAGGAAGGGTTCTCCCACAGTGCCGTCACAGAGAGCACAGCCCCACCAACACCTTCATTTTGGACTTCTGGCCTCTGGAACGATGAGAGAATACATTTCCCATTGTTTTCAGCCCTTGAACTTGTGGTACTTTGTTATGGCAGCCCCAGAAAACTCATACAGAGTCAGAATACAAGGGGCTGGTGAAGGTTAGGTCAAATGGTCAACCATGGAGTAGGGACCCAGGCAGGAAAAGAAGGGACATCAGGAGGGACTGGTAGACTCAGAGAGGTTTAGGGCTGAAGGTTTTGAGGAAGAATGACAGGTTTGGGGAAAAGCTGAATGAACAGATTTATATCCTGAGGGTGGTATATTTAAAATTAAGATTTTAGAGGTGTCTGTTAGACAAGAAGTTGTAAACAACAAAAACAAAGATTTCAGTAGTGTAAAAGTTCCAGGCGATTATAGGTGTAATCAGATTAATCTCTTTTTTAGTGGAGAAAAGCTGACTGACCAACAGATTTACCCAACCTGGCAAGACAATTTACCCTCTTTGGAATCTGCGTTTTAAATCCAAGGACTAAAGAAGAGCCTACGTTCTTCTGAGAAATTACTATTAGCTCCCTTCATGTCGAGGCTTTCAGACACTGCCTGGGAGTTTTGTGTTTTAGGAAAGTCATGGGGTGGGGGACAAGGTCTCAAATTTCAGTCTGTGGGTGAGTCTTCCCAGGCCTGGCCCAGGCTTTCAGAGAAAGGCACCCCCGGAGGTTTTCAGAAAGGTGTGTTTGTCTGAAGACTCCTGGGACATTAGACGGCAGAGAAAATAAAACCCACCAAAATGGCAAGGCAAAGCTGGGCCATTTGAGGAAATTCAGAAGGAAAAACTCCCAACAGAATCTTAAGGTAATAAAGTGACACCTCTGGTGCAAGCTAGAGAAATTCTCAGAGTTGCCCTGGGGCCAGGAATTACTCAATTAAATAGCAAAAGCCCAAAGGGAAATGGAGAAACAGTACCTCTTCCTCCTTTACCTGAAGCTCTGCTCCCCCTATTCCCTTCACCCCATATGCCCTCTGCCAGCAGCTTCTCCCCGCAGGCCCTACCCTTAGACCAGTCTGCCATCACATCCCAGCTGTCAGTACATTCCTCCTTTCCGGCGAGGACACCAGCACTGATTGATCTTCTCTCCTCCTGCTCCTCTCTGGCCCTGGTCCAAGCTGTTTCCTATCACTTTCTCCTTGGAGCATTCTAGCTGATCTTTCCTATCACTTTCCCCCAGGGCGGGGAAGGGTCTCATTTCCACCTTCTTAAGATATTGTCTCCTATGATATATTTATTTTTTCTTTTTTAGCTATCTCCTACCAAGAGGGTGGTCTCCTACTATTTAAACAGAAAAGAGTGTTTATTTTGAGGGAGAGTGGACAGGCAATAAGGAAGCTACATTGATTTCCTTACACAGTGCCTGAGCCAAGAGGACTCTGGCCCTAGTATCCACGTGACCAGAGCATCCTCAAGCCCACCCTTCAGCCCCTGCACTGTCCCCCACAAGTGTTTGCATTTGCCAGCCCAAGTCTTGTCAGGGGCATAACCCTCTGACTACATCCTCACACTCTACATTTAGCTCATTCTCCTCTCCCTGTGACATCCTGGGCACCACTTCGTCCTCTCCCTCTCCCCAGCCCTTTCTCCAAATCCCCCAAGTGGGAAGGATAGTTGGGAGCAGAAAGCAGTTTAGCTTTTACAAGCCCGGTGCAAGGATCTGCTAAGAGCTATTCCAAGGACCATGTTTGCCAGAACAGATTTTGTATTTAATCAATGAAGGTGTTTCTCTCCCAGCAGACAGCTAATCGCCAAGAGCCTCACATTCATCTTCTCTTGGTATTTACTCAGATGGGAAAAGTGGCTCCTCTTACCCTTACTGCCTGAAGATCATTCTTCCTTTCCCCAGCTTCTCCCCATTCACATCGGGGAATTGTACTATTCGACCAGCTCTCTCCTGTGGGAAGAGTCAGAGGCGGGTGAGAGGATGATGACCTGGGGAGGCAAAGTGACAGAATATGTCAAAGAGCAGTGACAGTCTCTAGGTTTTAAGCTGCCTGGGATGGCATGGGGGATGGTGATTATATTGAGTCACCACTGATGAAATATTTATTGAGCTGTGAAGGAAACACTCCAGGGTAAAGCAGAGAAGCAGTAACTGATTTAAGATGCAGAAGTTCAAGTACTCACACCATTGCCTCACTGTGCAGGAACAGCAAGTTCTTTACCTCCTCTGGGTGTCAGCTCATAGGCCTGGGCTATCAGGGCTGGAAGGGAGCAGAGAGAACCTTTATTGGAACCTCACCTATTAAAGATGGGGCATTGGTGTGTTGCTGATGACAGAACCTGAAAAAACCTACTCTTCTACAGCAGGTTGAATTCATGACCTGAAGCTGAATGCTTCCAGCATGTTCGTTCAGGGTGTAGATGGGAATAAAGTATCTTTGCAGTGCTGTGTTCCCTCCGTCTCCCCAGACATCTGACACCCTAAAAGCCATCCACAGCTATGGAGCCTGAGCGACACCTTGATTTGTGTTGTCACCCGACCAAGCCTAAAGACCTCTAGCTCAGTCCCCCACCTTCATACCACCCCCCAGATGATAAAATTCAGACCTCTCTCCTGAAAGGCAGAGGTTAAACATTCAGGACTGTTTCTGGCCGAGGACTTCTTCCAATTAAAATCCCCACCATGGGCTGTCTCCCCTCATTTCACTTTTCTAAAGGGGCAGAGGCTCTTTTTTGATTTTCCTGAGCCTCCCTTTGTTGGATCTGCCGGAAGACTTGTCGGGGAACCTTTAGTGAGGGTACTTCTTCCTATTTTTCTTCTGTTTTTGGAGGCATACACATTATGCATAACCGAAACAATGGCTCAGCTGTGTTTAACTTTGTATTTTGATTGTTGAGAATAAAAACAAAGAGTATTAATGTGTATGTGGCTGTTTGTAGTGAGTTCATTGCAGAATGAGGCTGTCTGTGTCCTTAACAAGCCTAGGGGCAGGAGGCACCCTCTCTTATCCCCTCCTCCAAGAGCAGTAGAGAATTTAAGCACAAGCCTATTTGTGAAAGAATATTTTGCTTAAGTGTCATTCACTTTAGTCTTGGAATTCCTTCACAAACGTCAGGGGTTCTTTTAGCTTCCAAACTAGCATACGTATCTATGAGTCTGACAGATCGCCTGAACACCATTAAGAGGTGTGGTGTTTTTGCTTTCATTTGTCCTGCTGGGAGAAGTGGCGGTTCATGTGTCATTCCAGTATCTCACATACTCACACAGGGCAGGGAGGAGGGGGAAACGGGGAACTATATCAAAATTTAAAGATGCTTTGGAAAGCAACCGTGAACACATCAACACAACAACATCTATGATTACTTGCTATTGACCCTCGGACACATTTAAGAGAAAGAGACAGTCACTCTTTTTTTTTTCTTAAATGATATACACACAGTCATTTTTATCCTATTAAAAATGGCCTTTAACCTTAACCAACAACAAGGCGAAAAGGGTTGCAACATAGATTTTTCCCAGCCTTATAATATACCATAAGCTCCTACTTCCTTGCTCCTCTCTAATCAGTATTCTTTCAAGAGTTCTTCGGTGAAGCCATCTATCTGAAACTAAAATGAACCAAACCCATATTTCACCGGTGGTTGGAGAAAACCATAGCAAAAACGATTGTGGCAGGTCTCAGTCTTGGGAGTTTTTAAGAAGGAATGTGCCAGAGGCGTTTCCCAAGAACGGAGTTTTGTTTTGTTTTGCAGAGGCATTCAGTGTGTCTAGTGCTTGTTGGCCACAGCAGTTACTACCACAGAGCCTTCTGGGAGGGGCCGTTATGTTGAAGGAGGCTCCTGCCTGAGGGACAGCATCAGGCAGTGGGCTCTGTAGAGTGAGTACCAGGTGGACGCCTTCTGTGCCCAGCTCAGAGTCCTGCACCACAACAGGACTGCCCAGGCCAAGGGCTACTGACGCAACTTCCACTCATTCCACTCTGTGTCGGGGGCCTTGCACCCCTCCTGGAAGGGCTCTTGGAGAAGGAATTGTAGTTGCGTACAAGTGACCTAAAGGGGAAGCTTTTCTTTCTTTTTTTTTTTTTTCAGACGGAGTCTCGCTTTGTCTCCCAGACTGGAGTGCAGTGGCGCTATCTCGGCTCACTGCAAGCTCTGCTTCCCAAGTTCATGCCATTCTCCTGCCTCAGCCTCCCGAGTAGCTGGGACTACAAGCGCCCGCCACCACACCTGGCTAATTTTTGTATTTTTAGTAGAAACAGGGTTTCACCGTGTTAGCCAGGATGGTCTCAATCTCCTGACCTCGTGATCCGCCCACCTCGGCCTCCCAAAGTGCTGGGATTACAGGTGTGAGCCACTGCGCCTGGCCAATGTGAAGCTTTTCTAGATGAGATTGGATTAAATTCCATGTGATTTCTCTTTACCTTTAATTCAGGTTGGGACTCGTTTCTTTCTGGTGGATCACAGCTGCCCAGATGTTGCAAGTGATTTTTATGTTTCTGTAGAGAAGTATTTTTCTTGCACCTTCAGGATTTTTTTGCCACCAAAGGAAAACATGGAACTCTGTGTTACCTCTTGATCGTGATTTCCCAGTGTTGATAGTTAAGTCCTTAGTGTCATAGGTCCCAGCCCACCAATACTATATCAAACACTGTTATGCACATAATGCAGCACTGTGATCTAATGTAAATAATACTTTTTATTATTTACACTACTATATATAATATACATCAACACTTTTGCTATATAACCTAAGTGATAACCCTCTTTTAGTTACCTGCCAAACTCTGGACTTGGTTTATATTGCAGTTAACACAGTTACAAAGTTGTAATGGTGTCTCTTTTTCCTTTGTAATGGAATGTGTAAATCAAAGTATATACATTGTGTGGTGTTCCTGTTTCTGGAGTTTCATGAGGATTTACACATGGCATTCAGTGTTCTGTATAGGTCTGCCTACCTTTGTGAATTCATCTGTTAAACCCTCTTCCTTTGAGAGAGCACCGGCGATGGTGGTTAACTCCTTGTATTTTCTCTCTCTCATACTGGTTATTCTTGAATTAAGCACAGACTTGTCAGTTCGGTTGCTTTATCACGAATAATGTGTGTGACCTTACAGTTCTGCCACAGTTCAACAAACAAGTGCTAGCTTCACTGACCAAAAATTAAGGAAGGAAAACACAGTTTTTAAAATGATCCATCTTTTAACAGCCAAAACCGATGTGTCTATGGTACTGCATCTTGCTGTTGTACTTCTGAAATCAGACCTGTGTGAATGATCATTTCTGACTTAACCGTGAGATGCTCACGAGTACCTTTCCTGTTGTTTTGTTAGCACTGAAATCAAGACTATTTATTTGGAATATATACAACAGTGTTTTTCCACTGTATTTCATTTGCAAAAGTTGAGAACTGCTTTCTCTACCTTTTGCAAAATAATTGATATTCCATATTGGATTCTCAAAGATTTCGATATGGTAAACCTATTAAACCTAGAACTTGTATTCATCCTTTCATGACTGTGGCCTGAGTTCCCCAGCCCCTCTGCTCCTTTTTTCAGATGAGATTTAGCACACTCTCAGTTATTTAAACATGCAACATTTCTTGAGTATGTATGTTGAGGCCATCTGAGCTCATAGCTGATTCCATAACCAGTTTCATGCTGTGTCATTTATACTCACTACTTAATACTGCCATGGTGAAAATGTGGAGGAAAAATGTATCCATGTGTGTCTGGGAAGCCTATACACTCGTGCAGTTTTTAATACTCTGATTCTGTAACACTTCCGAGTTTTGTTTTGTTTTACAGACAAAATGAAGTGATAAAGCAATCAGAAGATCAAGAGGTTTACTATTGATGCTTAGGGTCATCTGACCTTGGCTAGCCAATAGATCTACACAGCCAATTTAATTTACAAAAGTAATAATCTTTCAAAAGTCAATTTTTTTCTGTATTTTCTGTATGAAACTGCCAATATCATGAATAGAAAGGGAGAACCATAAAGGAGAAAGAACATGATGTTCAGTTATGTTCGTGTGAACCTAAAGAAACAATGTGGAGGCAGGCACTATCAGCCGAACTCTAGGGACTAGATGGTGTTGCTTGGAAGGCATCCATACCTGCATTTTGGATTCTTCATATGTAATCATATTGCCAAAGACAAACTATTTCATCATTTATTGTAAACAACACTCTTCCCCAGACCTACCACAAAGTTTCTGTGATGTATTGTCTTCCAGTTGCAATAAAAATTACTGAGTTACATCAATTGGGAAAAAAAAAAAAAAGATGATGGGGCATTGGACTTGGAGAGGCTGAGCTGCTCCAAACTGTAATTCCAGATGGATGGAGGCAGGGACAGCATCAAGAGCCAGCCTCCAGTCCCTGGCCCCTGTCCTGTCTATCTGCTAATTAGTTTGGGAAAGACCTGAACCTGTTTGATCAGCAAAGAAGCCATTGGCCTTCCTTCCAAGTAGCTCCAAAAAGAGCAGCCTCAGATGAACATTAGGAGGCTTGGTCAGCTCCTGGCAGGAAATAGAAGGATTCTCAACTGGGATTATGAAGGGAACCATTTGCAGAAGTACGGCAAGGTTAAGGGAATCAACAAGGAATACTGAGACAGGTAGGGACCAGCAACAACAGGAAGCTCTTCCTACTCTCAGCCTGAGGAGATGCATGGAAGAATGGAGTCTTCAGGACCCAGAAAGTGTGGGAGCCATGCAAGGGGGCTGCCCAGAAGGAGCTGTAGTTGAAGAATTAAAGCAAAGCAGGGGAGGAGGGAGCAGAAGAAACTCCCTGACCTGTCTCATGCCTTTGATCTCCTGCCAAAGCTTCCTGTTAATCTAACCCAAACTGGAAGACAGAAGACAGGAGAGCCCTGTGATACTATCCACAGAGATTTGTCTCCTGGAGCATGAAGCAGGCAGAAAATGGATCCTGGACTGGGAGCAAAGCAAAATTGCAAAACCAGCAGATGGGGTGTTGTAGATGGTGCACTCCAGTAGAAATAACAAGTCCTTGGAAACCAGTAGTCAGTATGAATCCTGAGTTTCCCGCTTACTGACTGTGTGATCTTGAGCAAGTCACTTTACTCTCTGAGCCTGGGTTTTCCTCTTGGGGCTAACTAAACCCTGTTGATGGAGTAGTTGTGAGGATTAAATGAGACACCTTATGGGAAAGCAACGACCATGTACAAGGTTCTTATAAAGATTGTTCTTCCTTCCCTTCAGAGCCCCCCTTCCAAGCTCTGCTGGACTGGAGGCACTGGATTAGAGTGGAATGGAAGAAATACACAGACTTTGGATTCAGACCCTGGCTCCACAGCTACCAGCTGCATGACTTTCCACAAGTCACTGAACTGCACGACCAGGGGCAGGTTATGTATCCTCTCCAACTTTGTTTTCTTAATGGTAAAAAGGGAATACTCGACTCATAACATTGTTGTGAGGATTAGAAATGATGTAAGGTACCTACTAAAGTACTGGGCTCATTGTAGGTAAGCCCCGGAATTAGACTAATTTCAAATCCTGTTTCCCTCCTTATGAACCATGTAATCTTGCACAAGTTTTTGGATCTCTCTGAGCCTCAGTTTCTTCACCTATAAAATGGGGATAATAAAAGCACCTCTTTTTTAGGGTTGTTGATAATGAAGTGAAGTCATGGGCACACAACGAGCCAGGCATAGAGTTGGCCCTCAAAAGTTTGTTGTTATTGATCATTACTATTATCAGTCTTACAATGTTTCTTGTGTATCTTTCCCCAATCAAGCATCCAACCCTTCTACTCAGACCCCCAGAGTCTTTGCTGGAGAAAAGCAAGTAGGGAATGGGACCAGGGGAGACAACTAATTCAGAGG